ACTGGCAAAGCCAAGAGAAGGGGCCTATACAATAAAAAAAACTTCTAAGAGAGAATTAAGATTTTCATTTAGCCTTACTCAACTACCACAGTACACTGTTGTAGAACAGCTTCGGCCGTGCCAGCTTTTGATGGGCTGGAGGCTGCAAACACAATTTTCCTCCCTTTTCCATGCATTAATGCCAAGAACCATGGCATAAGAGCAGGAACAGGAACAATACAAAGAAGAACAGAATAAGATTGACCAAGTCTGCCCCTTCACCCAGAGACACAGAGCTCATGACCTGCCCACATTGCAAAAAGGAGTTTATATGTGGCTCAAGGATAGGCACCATGGGAGTACTGCATTTGTGAAGCTCCAACAATCAAGAATGTACCTTGATTGAATGTCAAATGCCAATGCCCAAAGAAACAGGAGTTTTGCTGGCAGGGACAGCAGTAACAGGATGGGTTGCACATCCTGATCGTTATGAGAAAACTGTGTGAACACAGCACGAGTGATGGGGACAAGGGATGATAACCCTCAAAAGAAAGAGTTTGAAATGGTCTGACCTCCACAACTGGGAAACCCTGTGGATTGGATCAGGGAGATTGGTGAAAATACCTAACAGTCCTTCCCAGTAAAGTCCAAAGACTGTTCATTGCAGGGGGCTGGGGGTGGGGGGGGGTTCATGTAGAAAGGTGTGGAAATACTGAGTGAGGATAAAACTTGGTGGGAGAGATTTGCAGTAAAGGGTTAACTATACACATCTGCTTTGATTATAGTTATTGAACATGTGCACGTGGAGCTGTCATAATGATGTCTGATCAACGTAGCCCTGGAACCTGAGACTGTCTTTCCTTACCCACTTAAAGCGTATGCATTTAATGAAGATTGTTGATGTTCACAAGGTTGTGGGATACCTTCTATCACAACGCACTACAAGACAGTTCTGGTACATGCTCCACTGCTAGTTTTTAATATGTCTATCACAGATGGATACAGGAAGAGTCCAAATGTTGTGCCTCCTCAGAGTCTAATTAATAGCTATACCAGTGAGTGAGTAATGCTGCGCCTTCTACTAACTACACACCGTGAGGGTGACACAGAAGTTCTAAGGCCTCCAGCATTTTCAAGATTAATCTCCAAGATGCGGCTGCCAGCAAACCAAGGGGATAATTACAGAAGCAATTAAATAATTCCCAGAGCGAAATAAAACCAGTAAAATAAGCACTGTTCGTACTGGTCCTCCGCTTTGAAGTATACAAGACCCAGGATGCCTCATTCATCTGTTTTACTGGGTTTTTTTGTTCCCTTCAGGGCTGTCATGTTATCAAAATCTTTGAACATTTTGTTTACTTATTGTTGAATATGAGAAAGAAAAAGCTCTGACTAAAAGTCAAGCTTTATTCACAAGGATCTTGAAGTTTTTTCACTGTCTGGTGGCTGTGCGGAGGCAGTGCACCATGATTACAGGCATGAAGGATGACCAAAAGCAGGAGACCAAAACTGTTGAACCAGAGTTGGCCAGCTTGGGTCTTGGGTCTGCTTCTGCTGTACCTTTTCTGTCCATTACCAGAACCAAGGCCTACCTGAAAGTCCACGCCGATCTCCATTCCAGCAAGGGATCCAAAGCATTATCTGAAGCTGAAGCAGCATGCTATACTTCTAGTCTGTATCCCTGAATCAGCAACAGCAGAGTACCTGATCATTCACCTACTGTTAAGTGGGACCTGGCTCTGTGCAACATATCTTCTGAATTTACTTAGATCACAGGGAGGCAATGGCCTAGTGGTATTATTGCAGGACTGTTAATCTGGAGACCCAGTTAATGTTCTGGGGGCCAGGGTTCAAATCCTGTCACAGCTGATAGTGGAATTTGAACTTAATAAATATTTGGAATTCAGAGTCCAATGATGACCATGAATCCATTGTCAATTGTTGGAATAACCCATCTGGTTCACTAAAGTCCTTTAGGGAGGGAAACTGCCATCCTTATCTGGTCTGGCCTACATGTGACTCCAGACCCACAGAAAAGTGGTTGACTCTTAACTGCCCTCTGGGCAATAAATGCTGCCTAGCCAGTGACACCCTCATCTTGTGCATGAATTAAAAAAAACTCAAACTCTGTTAATGCTTTGCAGTGTTATGAGAATGGAGAAGCCACTGTTTGAAACCAAATTCTTCAAATTTCTCTCAAAACATTAATGCTGTAGACTTTACATGTGCTCAAAATTTTTCAAAGTATTAGACTCTTCACCTGCAATCCTTTCCAATTAATTCAAAATTTCACTTTTATTTGTAATGTGAAATAATTGTCTTGTCTCTATTTATTTCAATTGTTCAGTTAAAAGTTTCTTTCTCACCAGTGTGTGCTTTCAATATTGAATATATAACATATCACAAACATATACTTTCAAACATCTTCATGTACATTTGCACAATCTTCTCTTTACTTCAAAGAGTAGTGAAATAGTAGGTAAACCTCAACTGTCTTACAGAGCAAGCTTCCACAAGTTACAGTCACACCACAATAAGCTTTGTTTCCATTTTTAAAAAAGAATCCTTTAAGCTGTTTTGGAAAATAAACATTTAATAGATTGAAATTTTTTTTCCAGCCTATTCTTACAACCTAACCCTAACCCCTATTTTGTCGAACCTCACATTCTGCCTTGTTGTGAAATCAATTTTTTACCGTGCGGCTTGATGCCACAACTGAGACTGGGTTTCTGACAGGCCAAGGAGTAGGCTAGGTCAAAAACTCTCTTCAGGTTAGACTTTGATTACACATTAACACTAAATACAAGAAAATTATTTCATTGAACGCAGCAGATTCTGCGCTCTAATATAGTGTGGTGACAGTGCAGGGGAACATTGTATATGGTATATTGTATATGACTGATATTGAATGAGAGGTGATGGTAGTGGACGGTTGCTCATCCTCAGTACGACAGATGGACAATACTGCGCCATTTAATGTACAGTATGTTCCCAGTAGTGATTTCAGGGGAGATTCTGGGAAAGCTTCAATGAAATACAGTAAAGCTATCCAAATATTTGCCCTCTTTGCTCATGGATACCAAGGCAGCCAGTTCTCTGTTGAAGAACCATAGAGGCCGTAGCGTTGCATTACATCACATCAACTCATGATAACGTCCTGCTTTTCAACCAAACAGCATGTCTCCAATCAAACATCAAATCTGTCCACCAGCACCACGCTGCAGTTATGTGTAAATTTAATTGATATGGTGGCCACACTCTGGGAAATTTGGGAATTGGACAACCAGTCCCTAATTTTTATAGAAATTTGTGAACAACACAGTCTAAAACATCATGTAAGCACAACATGTGTAAACAGAATACATAGTAACGGAGAATGAAAGGTCAGAGACACAAATACATTATACACACATGTCACAATGTAATTCCAGTAACGAAGAATAAAGAGTGTCTGACATAAATATACACAGAGTACATATGTTATAGTAATGGACAGTCTGAGACATAAATGCCTTGTAGAAACACATCACATGCTACAATATACATGGCATTACATAGAATTATATAAGATTTTACAGCAAAGAAACAGGCCATTCAGTTTGACAAGTTCATGTTGGCATTTTTGTCCCACAGAAGCCTCCTTCCATCTTACCCCATCAACATATCCTTCCATTCCTTTTTCCCCTCATGTGATCTCACTTCCCCCTAAACTCCTCTATGTTGTCACCTTAACAACTCTTTGTGATATTGAACTTGACACTCCAACCAAGCTCTGGGTAAAGAAATTTCTCGTGGCCTCCCTATTGGATTTATATCTTATATTTATAAGATATCTTAGTCCTGTTCTTTTCTCTATTACTTCACTGAAGGTACAGTGACAGAGAGCAAAGATTCTCAGACGTGAATGCAACACACATCACAACAGACCAACACTGTCATCTAAAGAAAGCCTTAAAAAAAAAAGACATTTATAAAGTCAATGGAACAGAGCAAAGGTTCACAGTAATGCTAATATAGTGTACAATCATAACTATTCAGGAGAAACAATTATAATAAATAAACAAATATAAATAAAGCATTTTGTATAACCAAATGAGAAAATTAAAAGGCTGTGTGTGGCTAAGACATAGGTAAACATCATCAAATTGGAGAAATAGGGTTTGAATCCGGACCCATAATCTGTTTGAAACAATATTAAGTAAAACTATAAAAATAAATGCAGAATATCATAAACTAGAAATCAGTACAAAACACAAACACTGAATGACTAAAGTGGAGCAGAAATAAAATGACTAAGTGGTTAAAAAGACGAAGGCCTTGTGCTGATGCCTAAAAATATATAAAAACAACATGACAATCTCATTTAGTTTAGTAACTATTCTGTGTCTATTCATCTTGGTCTAACCACCCCCAGCTCACCGGCCCTTTACTACCCATGTGCAGCATCACAGGAGATTGACTCTCATTTTATTTTGAGCTACTGCCTTCTTAAACTTGTAGTAAACCCAAAATAGAACTCCAGAAGCCGAATATTGCCAGAGAGCAGATCCTTGCCTCATGTCTGACAAAGTTACAAAGTTGCAGTGAGAGCAGCTCAAGGCAATTCTGCACCTCAATTTCCCGGACTTCACACATTATTAGTCTATCATTAAGAGCTTTTTTGTAAACTCCTTCAGGACTGTCTCAGCTTTTTATTTTTGTTTGAAGCTGATCAGTATTGGCCGATTTCTTAGGTTGGGATTGCACATTAACCAGCACAATGCATAATGACCTGAGTGTGCCCCAGTGACATGATTAGGGGATAAGATACATTGTTCTGCTCACAGTGTGCCTGGTTAAGGCAGGGCTGCAGTCACATTGATGACGGCTCGGTCATGTGAAGATACAAAACAGTGAAGCCCTCAGAAGTGTCAGGCCTTTCATCCTGTCAGGCTGGATTTGATTCTAATCCAGCGTTCAAAGGGGAAAGGCCCACGCCAGCTAGGGTCTTGTCTGCTTCAACCAGTTCTCAATGTAAGTACCTTGAGGACTTGCTATGGTCTTTGGAAGTAGTCTCTGGGAGGCTCGGTAATGGCACTCGGTCTCGGGCCTTAGCAGCTGCTTCTTGAGCCAAGAGATGTGCTGGCATTTTCTGGGTTATCCTGAGGTGCAAAGGAGACAGAACAGATGGTACTTCACGGTTTGTACAGATTAGGCTCGGAACGTCCTATGGAGACTGATCTTTACTGGTTTAGGGTGAAGTGCATCAGGTATGTGGGATGAAAATTCTATCACTCAAAGGATGATTAAGCTGTTCCTCCCAACTTGATCACAGACCTGGAAATATGCTCAGAAGACAGGAGTTCAAATTCCATGAGAACAACTGGGAAATCTAAATTCAGTTAATTCGAATCCCTACTGTTTGGAACCAGGCCATTCAGCCCATCGAGTCCACACCAACCCTCTGAACAACATCCCACCCAGACCTAAACCCTACCCTATGTCTGTAACTTTGCATTTCCTATGGCCAATCCATCTAGCCAGCACAGCCCTGGGCACTATGGGCATTTTAGCATGGCCAATCCACCTAACTTGCACATCTTTGGACTGTGGGAGGAAACCCACGCAGATGCCAGGAGAATGAGCAAACTCTATACAGACAGTCGCCTGAGGGTGGAATTAAACCTGGGTTCCTGACGCTGTGAGGCAGCAGTGCTAACACTGAGCCACTATGAAAGAAGCAAACTTATGATTAAATTCAGGAGTTACCACCTACATTCAAAAAACAGGAGCCCAAAGTAATGTTTGTTAACTCCACAAATGTTATGCTAGTTCTACACGCTGAGAAAGTTTGAGTGTAGCTCTTGCTAAGGAGTTACATAGAACACAGAACAGTACAGCACAGGAATAGGCCCTTCAGCCCACCATGCCTTTAGTGAAAATGCTGATAAGCTGATAACAAAGATACAGAAACTGCAGTATTTACCCTTCTCACTGAGGGTTTGAGATCTTTGGTTAACTAACAGATTGTCAGACAGCACAAAGTATGCAATTTTTATCAGCAAAAAGTGTCACTTGCCCCAGCACGAAACTGAATTGTGTGGAATCAGATAACAAAAACAAGTTACTGCTGGAACAACCCTTAACAACTGGGCTGTGGTACATGCAGAGTAGTGGGCTCTCTCTCTCTTTCTCCTGGCAAACTGCCAGAGATTTTAAACAAAACAGTAGAGAAAAACACATAGCATAGAAAGGAGAGAAGGGAGTTGGAAGAAGGGGACAAGTTTTATCTTTGTCGATGTTTATCACCATTACCAGTTGTTATCTTCTCCTGTTATGCAGTTCTTGATGTGCAGGATGCTTTGGTAGTCTGATTGGGTAAGGGTTTGGTTTGCACTGTGGGCAAGACCATGTCAGCTGTACAAAGATAGGGGTATACTTGATCACACTGCAGATAACTCATGTGCTAAAGTTGAAAGGAAGAGGAAATGCTTTATGTGGGCAGAAGTTCTCACTTATAAATTGAAAGTATCCTTCATGGTTTTCTTCAAAGGGAACCATGAAACCTCTGCTCAAAATTTATCTGCAGCTCAACAAATAAAATAAACCCTTTCAGTTTTGGCAAAAGAAGAATGGATAGATTGAATCGAATAGAATTAGACAGAACTTTAGGAGTTTGAGTAAAAGTTAAAGCCAACCAGGGTAATCTCCCTAAATTTAAATCAAGGCAAAATGTTAGGAAACTCATCTGAAAAAGTTTATGGTAGCTGCCTATTAGGGTCACGATGGAATTATAAGAACTGTCCTGTCATTCTCCCAGTTGTTTCTGATTGTGTTACAACAGGCACACATTGGTTGTTTGATCATGGTGTCTCAACCAGTGGAGTATTGTGACCCCATGGCACCGAAACAGCAAGGACCTGAATGGCAAGGAAACTAACTCCAGCCACAATGTCCAACCTGTACCCCAGATCCAACCCCAATTTCAGAACATCCCAAATCCTAACTCAAATCCAACCACAATCACAGGGAAGCCCAATTCCTTACCACAACCTCAGCCTTAACCTCAAATCCAACCCGTTTTAAAGCATTGGCTCTTACCTTCCTGATCGGTCCCAGGTTTTTGGAAACTCTGAGTGAGTGTTTGTTTTGCTTTGCTTAGCTGAAATCATTTCATCTTTCTCCAACTGTATAAAATCTGCAATTAAGAAGCAAAGTTAATGGAATATCTGCTGAGCTTAAAGAGAATGTTGCCACTTAGACAAAAGAATTCTGTTAAACTTAAAGAAAATTGATCACACTAAAGCTACAGTATTCTCAACATCACATTGGCATGTATGTTGCAATTGAAACGACCATGAAATTGTCAGTTTGCTGCCAATACAACAGTGAAACTGATAGCAACATCTGGCAGTTCAATGTTATTTCCTATCTGTCCATCGGGTGTTGTTGATGTCTTTAGACAAAATCTTTTGAAATCACGTGAATTTGAATTATTTTCCACTTTTAGTCTCACTGCAAAAACTCTTGAAAAAAAAAAGTATGTCTTATTGAATGACATGTGACCAGATTTTTAACAATGCACTATGGTTATAATAAACAGCCTCTCTAACCCAGAACATAAAATGTTGATTAAAAAAATCCTTAGGTCATTGATAATGTTTTTTTTTGTAAAATGTTTTTGATGTTTCAGCTTCTACCATAGACCCATTTACAAGTCCCAAACCTTATTTTGCTCCCTTATTTTATATTCTGATTTTCTGTCTGAGAATTCTTCAATGTGATTGGCTGCTTGGCCTGACAGCTCTATTGCTGGATACCAGAAAGCCCTGTAACTTATGCCAAAATTAAGTTAACACCTGGAATGGTGAAATCCATATTAGATCTTTGCAGGGTAATTTTCTTTAAAACCTGCACTGAGAACCATCACTTCATTGTCAGGGCATAGGTGTTAAAACCTCACTTTTGGAGTATTTTGGTGGCTTAATGGGTAAAAGCAACTACCTAGACAGTACTGAAAAAAATCTTTAGGTTATGCAGGGTAACAGATCCCAGTGTGTTAGCAACAGGAGCAGGACTCATTGCTGTCAACTCAAACAGAGCTCCTGCTCCAGTTAATTATTTAGTGACTCCTAGGAGAATGTAACTAAAAGGTGAGGACCTCTGCTGTGACAACAATTTGCATTTATATAGTGATTTTAATGTAGCAAAATATCCTAGGATGCCAACACAATGGCAATGGACAGACAAAAATTGAGTACAGGCTAAAGGAGGAGATATTCACATGAGTCACCAAAAGCTTGGCCTCAGAGGAAGGTTTTAAAGGAGTCTCTTTAAAGGAAAAGGAAGAGAGAGGTGAGAAAGTAAAGAGATTTAGAGTGAGAATTTTGTCAGGCTGGGACAACAGAAGGCACAGTGATCATTGGTGGGGATAAGGTGGATTATGCATCACAGGTCAGAGAATTTGAAAGCTTTCAACCTTCAAAGAGCTGACATGCTAACCTTAAGTGTGGGGAAGAACTGCTTGGATGAGGTCCTTAAGGGTCCCCAGTGCCCATACTCCAATGAGAGTGAATTATAGGAGCTGTTTGGGAAGGAAAGTTCACCAGAAATTATGGTCACATTGAATGAAGTTCAGACTGAATACAGCATGTTCTATCCTCCTGGTCTGCTGGAAACAAATGACTTGGATGAAGACCATAAGATATAACAGCAGAAATCAGGCCATTCAGCCCATCGAGTCTGCTCCACCATTTAATCATGACTGATAAGTTTCTCAATCCCGTTCTCCTGCTTCCTCCCCGTAACCCTTGATCCCCTTGACCATCAATTTGGGACAAAAGGTATGGTTACTCAAAGCTAGGTGGGGAAGTGAGTTAAGAAGAGAACATAAGGAGGCTACAGAGGGATATAGATATGTTAAGTGATGGAGCAAAGATCTGACAAATGGAGCACAATGTGTGAAAATGTGAAATTGTCCAGTTTGGCAGGAAGAACTTTTTTTAAAAAAAAAAAATGTTGTCTAAATGGTGAGAGATTGTAAAGCTGTGAGTTGGAGAGGGAACTGCATGATCATCCAGTGCATCAACTGTAAAAGATTAGCATAAAAGTGCAGCAAGTAATTAGGAAAGCTAACAGAATGTTCTTGGTTATTGGGAGGGGAACTGAATGCACGCTGCACTGGATATTATGGGAGCTGCAGGGCTGAGCCAAATGAAGACATGGGGCTGTTAATCTGATAAACACCCATCTGGCAAAGTCCGGAGAAGGAGCTGATCTGTCTTCCACACAATTTTGTTTAGAGATTTCGATACGTTATTCTTCTGGATGAGCACCTCTCAGATGGAAGCTACTTCAGGGGATTAGTTTTATCAACCTGTTCAGCTCCATCTCACTGGCAGGTGGATCCTGAACCCTGAGGAAAAGACACTACCACTGTACCACAAAATCCTTTTTGGAACTAGTTTTTACACGTGTCCTAATTTTTCACCAATTATCAGCTGCTCATCTTCACCAGAGTGGAGATATGTATACACACCCAACTGACTCCAAATTTGCAACATAATTCTGACGCGTTGCATCGCAATAAACACATGGTCTGAATTCATCAATAGAAAGAACTGAAAATTACCATAGGTCTTCTCTCGTTGTTTTCGCTCTGAAATGATTAGTTTGTATGAGCCGCTGAAAGTTCCTGTCTCCTCGCCACGGTGTTCCAATGGAATATTGAATGTTATCTCATTTGAGTTGGCTTGCAGAGCGATACAACCTTCACCTGGGCAAGGTAACACAGGCAGGTTCTCAGAGTTGCACAAGATACAATAAAAAAGGGTGAAACATTTAGCATGTTACAGGGATAAAATGTAGGGGGGAATTGGATCAAGGTGCCTAGTTCTGTCGAAGAGCTGAAACAGGCACAAGGGGCTCAAAGCCTTTCTCCTGCTCTGCATCATTCCATGAATCTGTAAGAACTGGACTGTGTGTACCAATCACATTAAGAAAAAGAAGAGTTATTCCCGTTTACAATTGTTCAATAGTTAATGCAGAAGACCTTTCAGCCCATTGCACTGGTCCAAGCTTTTAAAATAGCTATTCAACCAGTCTACTCGCCTGCTGTTCCCCCATTGCCCCATTAACGTTCCTTCCCAAATATATATCTAACTGCCCTTTGAAAGATTGAAGCTGTTTCCATCATCCTTTCGGGCATTCCATTCTAGATGGCAACAAATCGCTGAATGAAATATTTCTCTTCTCTCTTCTTGTTCTCCACCTCAATGCTGAAGTTTTAAAGCACAGTGAATCCACATAAGCCTGCCCAAGTCCGGGGGCTATCCTTGGCACCATTCCCGTCAGGAACCCAGGTTCAGTGGGTAGGTTCCCATCTGTGACTCAGCCCCCACAGAGGAACCCATCAGAGTCCTCAGGCATTCATTCCACTGCCCAGTGAAAATGTTACCGAATAACATTGTCCTGACATCATGAACGAGGCCAGCACTGAGCACGGACCTTCAGAAAGATGGAAGGAAGGATACCAAGGGATGGTGGACGGTGATGTAGTGGAAGGGGTCTCATACTTGCTTGCAGCTCAATGGAAAATTCTTCAGCTGAAGAGTCAACCGCTGCTTCATTACATGATGTCCAACAACACTCATACAGCCTCCATCATCCTTTGGTCAAAATCCTGGCATGGCCCGATCAAACAGCAGCATGTGCACAGAAGAAAGGCCACCGCCTCCTTCACAAAGGTTTCAATGGCTAGCTGATGTCCCAGAGGGATGGCTTTCAATGAAGGACTTAAAGTAAAAGAGGGGTATGCTGTGATGGACTAAAACAGCTCACTTGCCTTTAGCCTTTCTCTAGTTTACACCTCGAGTCTCCACATGCTATTCTTGGAGAAGGGACTGCAGTTGGCAGCACCCCAATCAGCTCTGCCCACATAGCCACGTGTACTCATACTCACCATAGGACTCGTAGCTGTCGGTGGATTTGACGCAGATGAGGATGTGTTGGTCCAGTAAATATTCTGGATCAGAGATAATGGGTATCAGCTGTCAGGGCGGGCAGGGGACAAAGAGAGATGGTAAGTTACAAATGATAAGAGACCAGACTCAGGACAGCAGTGACACTGAATGCTTTGGTAAGATATGTCTCTCAACCATTTACACACTCTAGTACACACCTTTAATTGGACTGATTCCTGCTGAGGTTGGATTCTGGGGCACAAGCTGTCCTCTGGTACCTCACAACAATGAGCCTACAGCTTTTAGACCATTTGTAGTACTCTGACTGCAATTCCAGTAAAAATGATCCTCTTAGCAAGGCCAAGCCTGAAGCCTGGAGTCTAATGGTCCACAAAGCTCACCTTCAAACTGTAGTCACTGCCTCAATCATTTAGAAGACCCAGACACCCACAAGGCCATTCAGCTATCACAATTTTGTTGCAGCAAGCCATTCCTCAGAGCTACACTTTACAAACTAATTTTATTGTACGGTCTCAGTGCAGCAGAAAAAAATTCTGAAGGGGTTTGTCAAGTGGACACTGAGATGTTGCGTTCCCGGGGCTGCAAGTACAGAACACACAGGGCCACTGCTTTGGGTGCAAGGGTCAATCATTCATGACGAGAGGAGGTGAAATTTCTTCATTCGGGGTTTTGAAGCTTTGGGATTCCCTACCTCAGAGGTGTGAGGATGCACCATCATTGTGTATATTCAAGGTGGGGATAGACAGACTTCTTGAGGGACATGGGGAGTGGGTGAAAATGGAGTCAAAACAGAAAATCAGCCACAATGATCTTGAATAGTGGGGTAGACTTGAGGATAGACTTGCACCCATTTCTTATGCTCTTAAATCCTATAATATTTTTACTTTTTAAGTGTTTATCTAATTCTCCTTAAACACTGATTTACATGTCTTCAATAGATCCTTGTATATTCTTAACAACCTCCTCCATGCACAACACTCCTTCCCCTTCCACCCTTGACCCTGCTAGGGCTCTTTCTAAATTTGTCTCTTTGCTGTTGATTCATTATCCAATAGAATTAACCTTTCACTATTCACACACTTAAACCACTTCAAAATATACTGTACATCCACAGTCTGATAAGAAAACTCAAGTTCTTGAGTGTTATCCTCCCATCTCTTGTCATCATCTTACTGAAACAAAGTTGACCATTTTCCGTAGCTCTGGTATCCAATTTGGAATGGTGCACCCAAATCAATACACTTTATCCAATATCGAACCCATCTTTAAATTCAATGAGTCTTGCTGTGATTAGGTGAGAAAGGCTGAGCTGGTTCCTCTCTGTTCAACCTTCTTGGTTGGTCACAAAAAAGATTTAAATTATTTTTAGCACAAGGCTACATCATTTTCCAGTTAATATATAGTTATCTATTTTTAATGTAAGCCATGAAAAATCTTTAAGGAAAGTGCTAATTTATTAACTGCTAATCCCGACATGTGAGAAGCAGACAGAGAGAGACAGACAGACAGACAGACAGACAACAGCTTCTTTCTTTTAAGTAATCAGCTGAAAGCTCTTGGAACCTCCTTTGTAATACTGGATCCACTGTGTACCTCCAATAAGTTCTTTTATGGGGGCTGGAGGTGTTCTGTCTGTGATAGCCACAGTGTCAATGTCCAATACTTTGCATTTGTTACTATCTTCTGGAGATTATGATGGGATCAGATAGGTCTCTGGATTATATGAGCTCTTTATATTTTGCACCCCACCCAGAGGGCAATTCATTGGTTCTCTCACCTCCACCTTGAGGTGGATTTGCATTTTTAAGCAAATCACCTTTTCTCAGTCCAATTTTCAACTTAATATTTTCAAGTTTTCACATCTTCAAAAATAAAGTGATATGGCCTCCTGACACCCTAAATAAAACACAAACCTATGTATTTACATCTCCTGATTTAAGTAGTGGACCTTTAGGTCTCTCTGCTCCTATGTTCCATTGAGAATGTAACCATTTAGGTCATGTCCCATTGCCTGTTCTTTCTTCAAAAGAAAAAAAGATGATCCATGCTTCTCTTGCTTAAATTTTACCTGCCACCTACTCTCACACTTGTAGCCTCTTCTTGCAGGCTCCCAAGCTCTTCGTAATAATTTGCTCTGTTCCTATTTTGGTCTCATTAGCAATTCTGCAATTGTTTGATTGATGCTCATGTCTCTTACTGACTTAGTGCACTGAGGGCAGGGGAGTTCCCAAAATAAATCACTGTTCACTGGGTTTGTGATCGCTTGAGACACACTGGAGTGAGTATCACAGACTAGCTCTGCAGGGCCCATAACACACTGTACAGGTACATGGCTGAGGAATACAGCTTACTTCAATTGATTGTTAGTTCATAGTTTCCTCCAATAACCTGATTAATGTCTACTTACTCCCATTATGTCCAATTCTTTAACTTTATGTCAATTCATGTCATTTGATATTTAACAATATGGTCCTCAATCTTAAAAAGTTCCTTATGTGGATTTCTGCAAATGGTCTTTGAAAGTTCAAATTTTCTGGATGATGCGCTATTTCCCTGTTCACTCCCCTGATTGTGTCAGGATTTGGGTATAATCACTGCCCCTTTGTAATTCCATACCCCATTCAAAGTGAAAACAAACCAAGTGATTTATTCATAACATTTATTGGTGAACAGCTTAGACTGATATTGAGCTGTTTTATTAGCTGGGTAAAGGTTTTTCACTTTAACTTTACAGAGTTCATTTTCATTTAGTAGAGTAACGGTAAACTTCTTACCAAAACATAATGTGGAATTACAGTTTGCAAATTACTACAACTTTTCTGACCAGCATCTGCTACAAAAAAAAGGAATAGAATCCCTACAGTGTGAAAACAGGCCCTTCGGCCCAACAAGTCCACACCAAACCTCAGAGCATCCCACCCAGACCCATCCCCGTAACCCACACATCCCTGGACATTATGGGTAATTTAGCATGACCAATCCCCCTAGCCTGCACATCTTTGGACTGTGGGAGGAAACCGGAGCAAATCCACACAGACACAAGGAGAACGTGCAAACTCCACACAGACAGTCACCCGAGGGTGGAATTGAGCCCAGGTTGCTGGCGCTGTGAGGCAGCAGTGCTAACCACTGAGCCACCGTACCACAGTGAATTGAACAACTTCGTAAGAAATATGGAATCCTGCAATCCTAAACTCACCTTATGACAATGAGAAACTAGAGAATAAGAAAGTCTTGATTACCTCAGGGAGAGTGCTCCACACAACAGTCAGATTCTCATCTCTAGACTCCTGGTTCTCACCTTCAGCACTTTTCACGAGATCTAGAGGGAGCACAAGATTAGTTTAGATGCCTGCTCAATGCAGAGTTAAGAATCTTCAATAATCAAACTACACCACTGCTGGTTGACAGATTCTGTTGGGTAGAATCAACTGGTTATAGCACTGGAAGAGGCCATTCATCCCATTACACATACTCTAGCTCATCAATTAGAGCTGTCTGACAGGACATAACTGAGGATCAGGGAGGCCAACTGACAGTGAGGACAAATAAACAGGGAGACCAGCAGACCGACAGACAGATGAGGAGAGAAACAGACAAACTGAATAAGTCACACAATTTATTTGCAATTGAGGAACATTTAATTTTTTTACCTTTGTTCTTCTGCGGAGAAAAGACTCTTGAAATGAGTCAACCACACATGTAGGAATTGGGACAATGCAATATAATGCAATATAATGCAATGGACATATGGGGGGGGGGGGGGGGTTGGCTGAGAACAATGACAAGTGGCATTCTTACTTTCTAAGCAGCTGGAATAGAATTCAATGAAGAATTTGGTCTTGGATTTAGTTTTCAGCTTGGCTTCACACCTGATAAAATTGATGGTACCTGGAGAGGCAGCGTTGTTGGGGTCTGGGGAATGAAGAAAATGGATTAGCACAGTCTCAGTCGTGGATGTCTCACATCATTTTATTTAGATTAGAGTTCTTATACAGTGAGAAAAGTTCTGGCAAACAAGGCTCCTATTAAGATCTCAGAGATAGTAAGAACTGCCGATGCTGGAGTCTGAGATAACACAGTGTAGAGCTGGAGTTACATAGCAGGCCAGGCAGCATCAGAGGAGCAGGAAAGCTGACATTTCAGGTCAGGACCCTTCTTCAGAAAATATTTCTGAATGGTCCCAACCCAAAATGTCAGCTTTCCTGCTCCTCTGATGCTGCCTGGCCTGCTATGTAACTCCAGCTCTACACTGTATTATCCTATTAAGATCTCCCCTGGGTTTGTGGTCACTTGAGAAAAAATGAAATAATTATCTTGGACCAGCTCTGCAGGGCTCATAACAAACTGTACAGGAACTTAGCTGAGAGATACAACCCATAGGGGTCTCTTAATTGATTGGAGTCTATAACTTCTCGTAGGGGTGCAAAAAGAGTATAGGAGAAGAATTCATGGCTACTGACCAGTCTTTGATACAAACTGTGTTGACACTCCCACCTCAAAAGTTGCAAATACCGGTGAATGGTCGCTGGTGACAATATCTGTAGTGCAGCCTGTAATTGAAAAACCATCAGTTAAACATCAGTTAACCATCAGTCACTGCTAGCTGCACAGCATACACAAAATATTGCAACTTGATGCCTTGCCTCAAGACATATGATAGACTGGTGATATGCTTTTGGCATCATTCTGTCACCTTTGAAATCTAGCTGTATGAAAGCTCTCCCTTCTCTCTGGAAAGTTCTGATATAAAGTTAGTGCATGTCAATGTAAATCCAGAATTGAGTCAGTATAGATGAGTCTACATCAGAAAACAGTCCTTAATTAAAAATTAACTTGCCACTGACTGAGGTCATGAGATAACAATGTAGGAAGTGGCAGATGATCATATTAATAGAAGCAGGAGAAAGCAATTTAGCTACTTGAGCCTGCTCTGCCATTCATTGAGATCATGCTGATCTGTGACCCAGCTCCATTCACCCACGTTGGTCCTTAATCCCTCATTATCTTTGGATAACAAAAATCCATTAGAGTTAAAATTAACAATTAAGATAGCATCACACTTCTGTCACCCTTTACAGAGGAGGAAGTATGTTATAGTTTCAATTCTGAAAGGTTTGGATCTTATAGTTAGACTAGAGCCTCCTATTCTTAGATTCATTGTCCAGCAGAAATAGTTTCTCTTTATTTTACCCATTCATTTACCTGATATCTTAAAAATTCAAACAAATCAACTTTAACATTCTAAATTTCCAGGGAATATACCCCTAGTCTGTTAAGTTCGCCTTCTTATTTAACCCTTGGAGTCCCGGCATTATCCTTGCAAATCTTCACTGCAGTCTCAACAAGGACAAAATATCTCCCCTGAAGGATAGTGCTCATAACCGCTCACAGTGTTCCAAGTGTAGTCAAACCAAGACTTTCTAGAGCTAGAGCATAAATTCCACTCCGTTGTATTCTCGTCCTTCAGATAAAAGACACCATTCCATTCACCTTTTTTTTGATGATTTTCTGTGAGTGTGCAATATTAACAATGTGATTCTAGCTTTTCACCATTTACAAAGTATTCTGTTCTATCCTTTAAAACTTCAACGTGGATGTCCACACAGTTGCCAACTGAAACTTATTTGACACATGACTGTCTATTCACTGAATCTGTTAACAGCTCTTGAAGTTCAGTTATATCTCTTTGATGCAGTAGGGGGCACTCTTCTAAAGGTTAGGAAACATCCTAGAAAATAGTTACTCAGTAAGAGCAGAATCTGGGTATTACTGAAAAAAAGGGAGACATGCTGTCGAAGTTTATCATCTCGTGCTTATCAGGATAGATGCAAGGAATTACAAAGGGAACACTTTCCGTTGCAGCACTAAATTACAAAGGGAACAACAATTTATACTGCATGAGAAACAGAGTGCTGATTGATTCTCAAGTGGGGATTCTGTTTTGTCAAGATGGGTTGGGGACTTCAAGGCTAGGGTGCACATTTTTAAGATGAGAGGAGAAAGATTTAAAAAGACATGAAGGACAACATTTTTACATAGACAGTTGTTTGTGTGTGGAATGAACTTCCAGAGGAAGTGGTGGATGTGGGTACAGTTATAGTATTTAAAAGACATTTAGATAAGTTCATCAATAAGAAAGTGCAGGCAGGTGAGACTAGTTTAGTTTGGGATTATGATCGGCATGGACTGGTTGGACTGAAGGGTCTGTTTCCATGCTCTATGACTCTAGGTTGCTATGGAGAATGCACTGGTCTACAGTTATGCTAAAGCTTTGTTTGAAATTAAAAGAAAGTATGACTACTCTGATTGGCCAGGAAATTTGATGGAGAATGCATCAGGGAAGAGCGTTCCCCAATCTCTTGTTTAATTGAAAAGGCACAAAACCTAGACAAATCAGATCCTTGCATTTGAACACATGCAGTTTCCAGTAAATATAAATGACCCACATTGCAAGATTGACTGATAATCTCAAATTTATTGTTAGTGTAATTTTTGGCACACTTAGTTTGTTCAGTAAGTGCTGCCCAATCAGGCTATCATATCTCGTATTGGGTACCACTTTGTGTTTTGCAAGCATGACTGGTTGAGTATGGTCAATAAGCTTCCGGCTGTGAACAACTAAAGGGAAGTGATTTTTCAAACGGTCCATTAGTCGCTGGGATACACAGCGTAAACACTTTCCGTTGCAGCACTAAAAATTCACCTACTACTTTACTCAGTTGTGAAGGAGGCAGAACCTCTTCTTGGCTAGATGACAGTATCCTGTTAGTGGAGAAAACTACTCACGTTGTTGCTGCATAGGGGCTGCATGAAATATGAATGAGGAGGCAGGAGTAGGCAATTCAATCCCTCAAGCCTGCTCTACCATTCAATAAGATTGTGGTGATTCTGATTGTAAGTTCACATCAGCATTCTTGCTGTCCCAAATACACTCCATGAATGCTTCCTCTGTCAAGCTGACTATTCAAATCTACATGAAGATTAAAATCATGATTAATGTACAGCCTTTATAACATGCCCCCATTAGCTCCTGATTTATTCTCTGTCCCACCATATAGTTATAGGCCAATAAACACTCCTGTCAGTATCCTCTCTCCCTTTTTATTTCTTACCTCCATTCATATGGATTCTACATCTTCTGATTCTGGATAATTTCTTATTCCATCCCTTACCAATAATGTTACACTTCCTTTCTGTCTCTCCTTTCAAAAGTCACATACCCTTGAATATTTAGTCCCCAGCTTTGATCTCCTTATAACCATGTGTCCGAGATGCCTGGAAGTTCATATGCACTAATTTGGATTTGTGCAGCTGATTCATCGATTTTATTCTGAATACTATGCACATTCAAGAAAAAAAGCCATTAATTTTGCCTTTTTACTACATTTTATACGTCAACAACAACCAACACTACCTCAATCACAATTCCCTTGTCTTCTATATCATTATTAAATTATCAGACTCTATCTGACATTCATTGCTGGATGACCAGAAATTTCCTCCAACTAAATATTAGGAAGACTGAAGGCATTGTTTTCATCCCTGCTGTTAATACTTTCCGTTCATTACTGGCTCCATCTGTCTCCCCAGTAACTGTCCAAGGCTGAACCAGACTGTAAGTAATCTTGGGGTCTTAGTTGATCTCAGAGTGAGTTTTTGACCTCCTATTCACTCTATTAATAAAAACTGCTAGTTCTACACCCATAACATTTTGCCCTGCCACAGGTCACCTGCTGCTGAAACTTTCACCTTTGTTACCTCTTGGCTAACTATTCTAACACATTCCTGACTGATCTCCCACAGTTTATATTCCATACATTTGAGCTCATCCAAAACTCTGGGATATATGTCCTAACTCACACCAAGTCCTGATCACCTTTCATCCTCGTAATCTCCCAATCTATACCGGTTCACAGTTGACAAATGCCTCAATTTTAAAATTCTCCTCCTTGATTTGGAAACGTCCATGGCTTTGCCCATCCCTATTCTTATGTTCTTCTCCAGACCCACTTGTCTGTGGGCCATCAGTTCCTCTAATTCTTGCTTCTTGAACAAATTTTGATCGCCTTACCTTTGGTCACTATGGCTCAGGTTATAAGCTCTGGAATTCCCACCCTAAACCTCCCTCTTCGCTTCACTTTCCTCTTTTAACTCTTCCTTAAAACCAGTCTCTCTGACTAAACTTTAGTCATCTGCTCTAGTATCTCCTGAAGTGGCTCTGGGTCAGAAAGAAAGTGAGAGACCCCCACTGCTACTCCACTCAACATCTCCCCTCTCCATGCCTATAGCTGGTGCAGCAATGGGAAGGTGTGAGAAAATATCTCTCCACAAATCCATCACAAAGACCCACTGTGTCTTCATTCAAGCCAAGGGTGATAATAGAAGAGCCTTCATCAAAAAAATGGCAAATAAATCCTGCTGCAGCAAATCTAAATCACTTTGGCAATATTCTTACTTCATCTATTTCCCTTGAAGAACCCCAGCACCTTGAACCTGTCTGCACTCAAAGATGATTATTCACCACTTAGGGCAGAGGAAAAATCTAGTCAGTTTTCACCACACACTTTTCATTTTGTAACATTAAGCCATAGAGTCATACAGCATGGAAACGCACTCTTTGCTTTAACTCATCTGTGCCAACCAGACATCCCAATTTGAACTAATATCATTTGCCAGCATTTGGCCCATATCCCTTTAAACTCCTCCTATTCATGTACTCATCTAGATGCCTTTAAATGTTGTAATTGTACCAGTCTCCAGCACTTCCTCTGGCAGCTTGTTCCATACATGCATCACCCACTGCGTAAAAAAATTAATTATAATAGACTATAATATTTGACAAATGCTTGACAGGATTATGAGAGATTTAGATAAACACAGGATAGCTCCTTTGTCCCTTTCACTGATGGTACAAGGACTGTGCAACCCAGGTTTAAGGTTATGCGCAAAAGATAGTGGGGTTTGTGAGGAAGAACATTTTTTTAATGTAGTAGAGGTGATGACTTGGATTTCACTGCCAAAAGGGTGGTCGAGGGGGAAGTGGTCAATAAATTCAATGTCTTTTTGTGAAGACTAACATGAGTGGCATAAGAAAAGCTGTTTTGCCAGGGGTGTTCCCAATATCGCCCATCTCCTCTTTACCCATGGCCTCCGGGAAATCTGTTTCTTCATATGGTCCTCTATTAACCACCTGGTTGCTCTGAATTTCAGTGCTGGTACATTCTTCTATTCATAATCCAGAGTCGTTATGGTGCGGAAGACCATTCGGCCCACTAGATCTGTGCTGGCTCTCTTTAGAGCAATCAGGTCAGTGCCTTACCTCAGCTCTACCCCTATAACCCTGACTTTAGTTCCCTCAAGTGGTTGCCCAGTAACCTTTCGAAATCATTATTTGTCTTCACTTCCACCTCCCTCATAGACGGAGAGTTCCTGTTCAACCTGTGAATGTTGGTTAATTTGTGCTCACTGTACCATGACAGGAGGATGATATTATAAATGCATACAGGTCAATGGAAGCAGATCATATTCATACAATGAAGCTAATAATCCTGCTCACCATAAGACTGACACATGACGTGTACTTTGGGGTAGCTTTTCCATAGCACTCGATCACACCAGGATGGCAAGTTGTACTTTAGCTGAAGAGAGAACAATTAGTTACTAAACATGTAGGAGGAACTGTCAGCTCTCAATTCAGCTCCTTCTGAAAGCTCCACTTTCAGTGCGCTTTACCCTCTACTTTGATTTATCTGAGATCTCTAACCAGATCTCATCGCACATTCTCACCTCTAGTCCATCCCTGGTTTTCATTGTTTCACCATTGGTAGACACGCCTTCAGTTACCCAGACCTGGGGGTTACTGGAATTTCCTCCCTAAAGTGTGCCTTTTGACTCGCACTTCTCCCCCTTTAAGGTATCCTTAAAAGCCCTGCTTTCTTGACTCAGCCTTTTGTCACCCGTCCCAACTTGTGGCTTGGTGTCAGACGTTGTTTGGTAACGGCCTGTGAAATGCCTTGGAATGTATCACCCTTATAAATGCAAGTTGTTGTTATTGAGGACAGGGGGTGCTATCAGGACTGGCCAAAGCTGCACCTCAACCTTTGGGCAATTGTATATTCACAGACAGCCCATCTGCAACAAGTGTCGGAGACTGGGTCTCCCTGGAATACCTGGTCTTTGTACTGAGAATCAATGGGCCCCATACCACAGCTAAAGGTTTCTTGATCATACTCTGCAGAATGTGCTCCATCTAGGAGACAGCAATAGACACAGCAGGGCATTGGGACAGCACAGAAAGAGGAATGTTGGTGAAGAACGGTCTAGGCCCGAAACGTCAGCTTTCCTGCTCCTCTGATGCTGCTTGGCCTGCTGTGTTCATCCAGTTCTACACCTTGTTATCTCAGATTCTCCAGCATCTGCAGTTCCGACCATCTCCCTTACTGCCCGGTTTGAGCGACTGGACAGTTCTGAAGGACCTTAGGAAAATCCTGTCTGTACTGTTGAACAGCTAGGTCCTGAACAACACTTTACCATCATGGAGTACAGGACCTGGAGGCTGAGCGGCAGGTAGACCAGGAGAATAGCGTTGAGCGGGTGATGGGTGATCATAAAGATAGAGCTAAAACTGTCTTTTATCCAGTTAAAACCCAGAGCCTAGAGTGGTACGTTGCTGCTCGGACTAAAGAACCTCATGGAATGAGGGAAAACTTGAATTGGAAGGTGATGGTATTCCCAGGTATTTGTCTTTCCAAATGGTGGCAGCTGTGGATGAGGGAGATACCGTGAGAAAACTGATTCAGCGGGCCAGTGCAAACAAAGGAGTATCTATGTATTGGTCTGATAGGGCTGCCATTCTGTGACTAGATCTCAGCTGTGTTGTTGGAATATTATAGAAGAAGTTATATTCTGTACCTAAACCATCCTCCACACAAAACTATAGCACACTATACAGAACCAAATAAAACTGTGGCACCATAAATTATTCCTGTGTGATATCACTCACTTTGGAGTATACAAGACGTACATGTAAAAACAGAAACTAAGAGCGGAGCAATAATTGTGCCACTCACTCCTGTAGCCTTCTGTTTGATGTAGTTGTACATCTCTCTGCTGTCACGATCATAACGATAAGTTGGAGGGAAGGTGATCTCTTCTTCCTCTGCAAAGTGAAAAAAAAATGCGATGACAAAATGATTTTCTGTGTTTTCTCTCCCTGCTGCAGAGGCCAAACATGATACAGTGTGCCTTACTATCCCACGATGACAGGGAAGGCCAGGCCCCCGGACACTGCTGGTTTCTCAGCTCAGTAAGTTGGGGAGATCAGAGGTTTTGTCTTCTTGTACCCCTTGGTACACAGATAGCTCAACTCAGGGAGGCCTTTAGATGCAGGGTGCCCAGAGTGCACAAACCTGGAGCAGAATTCCAGAACACCCTGAGGTGTACAGAGTTCACCCTTAGACTCACAGCAGAGGTCCCACAGATTCTGAGGTCTCATCCTATTGGATAGTGTTCAAATTCAGGAACCCACCTTTAGCCCATAACCCCTTTGCTTCCCCATCTCTCTCTCTCTACGACATTCATTCTACCTTTCTAACTAAGCTTTGATTTCCTTTGGCTTGGTGTCAGTTTGTGTTTGATGCTCCAGTGAAGCTGCTTGGGTTCTTTCACAACATTATCGGTACTATATAAATGAAACGAGGCCACTGTTGATTTTGCACTGTCTGAATAGAGAATGCTGTCCTTCTGAGATCTTCAAGGACCAGCATTCAAAAGAATTACCATCTAGATGACATGGCTTCACACCGTACCAGGTAACCACTGAGACATCGAGTTCATATTAAATTTTTCTTCCATTCTCTAGACCATTTCAAAATCAAGAATAAATCTTTATTACTAGTAAATCTACCAATGACCCAATCTGGTCCTGCACTTCAGATCAACATTCTTGTAATAAACCTATGTTGGAGGTTGAAATTGATTCATTCCTGTGATAGTTTGAATCACAGAGCTGTACCTCCTGCTCCTCTGATGCTGCTTGGCCTGCTGTGCTCATCCAACTCCACACCTTGGTACCTCAGATTATTTGCCTAGCTATTTGGCCATTCACACCTTTACTGGATTCTCTGAAAAGTGTTATCCATCCAACTCAATTCTCCTGCTTCTTTTGACCTAAACTAACTCCGTCCACTACTTCTGAGCAATGGAGTTTAATGGTCATATCTCCAATCCTGGCCTGTGGCCTTCCCAGTCACCGCTAATCCTGGTCTATACTTTTCACAATCCTGGTTACCATTACCAGCCCTGCTTCCCAGCCGCTGCAATTCTCTGTAGTCATTGTCGCACACAGCCCACCCCTTTCTCAATCCGCATTCAGAATTTACCTGAGGGCCAATGCTGGTGTTGCACTAGTCCAATGTTTCATCTTCTTCATTGCTGGATTCCCTGAAGGAGCCAGTAGGTGCCTGCAGCCTATAGGCTTTGTGATAATATGGCCACAGTTCCTGATCACCTGCATCTCTTGACTATCCAGTTGTTGAGATTGTTCCCTCCTTGCCTATATTTGTGCAACAAGCTTCCTGAATCCCCATATTTAAAAAAAACACACTGCTACCTCACTTTCAATAAATTGTACACCTTAATCCAAATTCTCTTTACTCTTTGTGTCTAATGAGGTTTTACCACTTTGTGTGTAGTTCTCTCATTCTAAATCAAAAAATGCAATGTCACTTATTTTTCCACACTAAATATCACTTGATGTCAATCTTCCCAATATGTAATGAGCAAAACTATCACAGACTAGGGTGGTTAACGGATTCCCAGCCCAATTTATTTTGTGGTGCTGTGGAATCTGTGGACTGAGTATATATTGGTTGTGGGTGACAGCACCCCTTTTTGAGCTCTGTGAAAAATCTTCTGTTATGCTTTTGGTTGCACTTCAGACCCATGCTCCTGATCTTATGGCATCTAGTACAGAGGGGTGTGGGTATATCCGAGGAACTCCTCATGGATCTGCTGCTAAGCCTGGCCAGGCTGGCTATAAACAGGCTGAGGACGGGGTCATTCCTGCTGACTGTTGCTCTCCCATGGTTATATTCGTGCCCGGGTGTCCTTAGAGAGGGAGTATACAGTGCCCACCAATATTCTCAATGCCTTTAGAGAGAATGGGCACAACGGGGATGCAGAGTTCTTTATTTCCCCTTCCAACTCCGTTTTGATTTAGTCCCTCCCCTTCTCCCTACCACCCCCTCACTTTGATGGTCTGCGTTGCCCTTAATGGGCTTTGCACGTAAACTAATTCATTGGACATGATTTACTGGTGTTGGGTAATAGATGAAGAAAAAAGCACCATAAGGGTGATTTGGTAATGGAGAAAAAAAAAACATTCTGATGTGTGTAAGAGCACTTCTGGATGTAATAAAAAGAAAAATAAAGGAAAACAAAAGTAAGCAAAGCTACCAAAAGTTGTCTTCTACTTTCGGGAAAATGGGAAGAAAAGCTCTATGAGAAGGATTGTTGTGAGGAGTTCGTTCATGGCCTTTGTAAGTGCGAGGAGCACACCTGTTTTAACAGAGGCAGCAAAAATTCAGACTGTTCTTTATGTCTTTCCTAGAAATTCAGGCTGAAACCTGGGCCCTTCACTTAACCCCCATTATTGCAGAAAGTCCTTACGGAATTGAAGGAAAACTTTCTTGTCATTCTTCTCCACGATCAGCTGGTCCTTGGCTAGTAGCTCCTGGTACTGCTGTCGTTTGATCTTCTCCACGATATTCTCAGCCTCCTGCTCAAAATGGAGAGGTTAGATCACAATGTCATCCTGCACAAGAAAGCCCCACCCCAGAGAGGAGTCATTTTAATGTGTTTTGGGAAAAGGCAATTTTAAAAATAGCCTCCATGGAATCCACTCAAAATAATTAAATGTTTTGGATTGTTGGTCCAGTTATTGCAATAAACTTAAAATGGTCACAGAGCTGTTTCTCTGCCTGAAAGACTCTCATTTGAAATATGTGCTGATTATACAGAAGGACAATAATGTCACGAGTACTGCCCTCCAGTGAGTGGCTCAGTGGTTAGCACGGCTGCCTCACAGCACCAGGGACCCAGGTTTGACTCCAGCCTCGGGTGACTGTATGTGTGGAGTTTGTACATTCTCCCTCTGTCTGCATGGGTTCCGTCTGGGTGCTCTGGTTTCCTCCCACAGCCCTTAGATGTGCAGGTTAGGTGGACTGGCCTTGGGAAATGCAGGGTTACAGGGACAGGGGTAGGGGATGGGTGTGGATGGGACGCTCTTTGGAGGGTCAGTGTGGACTTGATGGGCTGAATGGCCTGCTTCCACACTGTAGGAATTATATCTCCCTTTTCAGAAATGCAAAGGGCATCTTCTGTGTCTGAGGTGAGGCTGTGTTCGTATGTTAATAAGAACATAAAAGACAGGAATAGGCCGTACAGCCCACTGAAACTGCTTTGACATTCAAAAAAATTATAAAGTCATAGAGTCATACAACATGGAAACAGATTCTTCAGTCCAATCAATCCATCCCAACCATAATTCCAAACTAAAGTAGGCCCATCTGCCTGCGCTTGGCCCATATCCCTCCAAACATTTCTTACCGTATTTAACTAAATGTCTTTTAAACATTGTTTCCATATCCGCATCCACCACTTCTTCTGGAAGTTCATTCCACACCTCTCTTGTTTAAAACAAAATTGCCCCTCAAGTCTTTTTTAAATCTTTCTCATCTCACCTTAAAAATGTACTGCTAGTCTTGAAATCCCCCACCCCCACTTTTATTGTGCATGTCTTGCCTTTGTTTATTTTACCAAAATGCAAATTAAACTCCATTTGCCATTCTTCAGCCCGTTGACCCAGTTGATCAAGATCTCTGTAATCTTAGATAACCTTCTTCACTATCCACAATACCACTGTTCTTGGTCTCATCTGCACACTTACTATATTCTCATCTTTCTATATTCTCATCTAAATCAATTAAATAAATGACAAACAAAAGGGGAAAAATTCCTGAATAGACTTCTTTTGTTTTATTTCTTCGTGGGCTGTGGGCCTCATTGGTTGAAATCCCCACCCTAGGGAAAAGACATCTGTCATTCACCTTATCTATACCCTTCATTACTTAATAAAACTTTGTGAGGTAACCTTTCAACCTCCTAACTGCCCTCGAAGTGGTGGCTGTAAGCAGTGCTTGGGGTAGGTTGAGACATGAACAGGGATGTTAGGAAAGAATTTCCAGATTTTTGACCAAAAATCAATGACTTGACACTAATCAACTTCACATTCTCTCACTGACCTTAGTGCGCAAAGATCTATCGATCATAAACTTCACTTTCTCTCGCTGACCTTAGTGCGCAAAGATTTTTGATCATAAGCTTGAATGTGCTCTGATTGAACATCCACAGGAAGCTAAGATTCAGAAGCCTAGGTAAACTACCAGACCAAATGTAAAATACCTCACCTCTGTCCAGTTTGGCACTGGGAGTAGAAGGTACCTGTATAAGGAATGCACAGTTCAAGCGAGTCAAGGCATGAGCCCTAGTCTTCACACTTGACAAGGCATTGTGTTGGGCGAGCGCTTTGACTCAATCCTCAGACCATGTCAAGATGACACAGGATTTTAGCCTTTCAAAAGAATAAAAAACCTAGCATCCTCCTTTTAGGGTGACATAGACAGGAGGTACAAAGCCTGCTAGAGTATTTCAGCGTAGACCAGCACCTTCAGTCAAGTAAGGGGGGGGAAAGGATGAATAGAATTACGATCTGTGAAACAGGTCATGGTGACACTAAAAGCAATGAAAGATACCATCGTCAGCCACTCTGACCTGTGTTGGAAGCTCCACTCTGTAGTTCAAATCACCAAGCCAGAATAGATGTGTGAACCGATTGGTAATGTCAAATGGACCTAACTTCTTATCTCCAAGGTTCAGAAAACGCAGGATATTGATATAATTCTGGTTCCGCCTGCCACAGGAGAAAATGATAAACATATCAGAACAGACCAAAGTCCTTAAGAAAAGAGATCCTCTGAAAGCTCTTTTGTTAGAATGCATTTTTCTTTCCTGCCATGTGAGGGTTGGGGTTCAGAGAGTTGTACGCTATGTAAGAAGGCCATTTGATCTGTAATGCCCATACTAACCCTCAGAAAGACCAAGCCAATTAATTTCAGACCCATAGTCTTTCAAAGAAATTCAAGTTTTTATCCAAATTGTTTTTATGAGTTAGTCATGTATCTGCTTCCACCATCCTTTCAGACAGTGCAATCTGGATCATAACAACTTGTTGATCCCATAGCAATGCAGACACCCAGATTAAATGCAGCACACCAAGGTCACTCTACTCAGCATGGTCCGACTGGGATCTTCCTGCCCATTGTAGCTCCAGGTGGCATATTTACCATTCAACCAGCTGTCAACAGCAACACTTACGCAGTGATGGCATTCTTGGCAGAAAGGTTTGCATCACACAGCACCTCTTATGACTCAAGAACGTCCTAGTGCTTAAGTCACTGAGAAAATATCTGTGCACAGCAAGATCCCACAAAGGGTAATGAGATTGTCTGCTTTTTCAGTCTCGCTGATTGAAAGATAAAAGAAGGCCAGGACACCAGCAGTACTGCCTGATCTTCTTTGAATAGGACCAGGGGGTCTTTCACATCAATCTGAGACAGCAGATTCTGCCTCAGCCTGAGTTCAAAGTGCCTTTCATGTTGTGTACAGAAAGTGGCCATTGCATAATCGATCCTTGGGGATCTTTTGAGTTTTCTACAGTTCATTTGATATGACACTTCCAGAAAAGGTCAAGGAGATCCACTGAGCAGCACTTGCATCTTCTGAATCAATGATGAGTGATTACCTGGTTATCATTGTACAGATTTACATCTTCTGAGCAACTATTTTGAGATACTGTGCTTGTTTCAATGAATACCGCTATTCCAATGAATTTTAGACAAATCAAAAATTTGGGAAGCACTATCACATGTCGAGGAGAAACCCCACCAGTTCCTCTCTACTTTTACCTTAGCTTTTTCTCACTTCCTGAGGTCAGGTGACTGTTCACAAATCCAAAGGATGTACCGTTAAACATGAAGGACACTCCCACCGCACCTTTGTTACCTGAAAATTAAAATACAGTTACTCAACTGATTAGTCCAAAAAGCAAAAAGCCTTACTCAATCGAAATACATCATATCCTACTATTAACTGTTCATAAACACCTCACCTAACAATCATCCAATTTGTCCACATCCCAATACTAGTCATCACAGTATTCCACATTTAATTACCAGTGATTCTTCCAATTAATTCAAACATGGCTTTAATGGTCTAAAAGGAGATACTGACTCCTTCACATTAACTGGGGCTTGAGCCCTGTGTCATAAACCTGAACAGACAAGACCATCCCAGACTATGTAGTCAAGCAGTACCAAATATTCTTGTAATTCAGCTCCAAACAGTTTGAAAGTCACTGTCCCAGCCAGTCCCAGAGTGTGAAAGGACAGTGTCTGACCCACTGTCCCAGCCAGTCCCAGAGTGTGAAAGGACAGTGTCTGACCCACTGTCCCAGCCAGTCCCAGAGTGTGAAAGGACGGTGTCTGACCCACTGTCCTAACGAATAGAGTTAAAGCCGTTCATGTCTAATCCTGGTTCTCAGCAAGTCCATTGTTTGAATAATTTGCTGTTCCAGAATCATCCCTATTTTGCTGCAGTCAATCAAGAACCGAGGGGGTTGCACACTTGCTGACCATCTGCACTGCAGGAAAGATGAACAAGAATTTGAAAAAGAAAATTGTCTACAAAAGTGTTGTGGGACAATTCGGTTTGTACTTTCTCAATTCCTCTTTCTCGTTCCTTTCAAACAGCACAGGCAGAGAACAAGAAAAGTTCCTTCTGTGCCCATAAACATTATAATCTGCTGTGTCATGGCACCCAGCTCTGTGCAACAGTTGTGACTGATCTATTACTGATACAGTTTACCACATCAAAGACCCTTTGTTGACAAAAAATCTTACTGTGTTAAATAGCATTCAAAAAGCTAGAGAAAGCAAGTGTGTGCCAACTAACTAAAATGTAAATTGGTTCTAAGCATTCCCCGCAGACTATATCACTTAGCACTAAATGCAATCCCACATCTGCAAATGTGTGTACAAAAAGATTCCCCAGAAGAATGACCAATCATTCACAGTGACTCACATTGAAGGTAGACAGGCCGTCTCCTGAGTGGCTGAACGTTTGTGACTCCCTTTATATTGGCTCATATTAAAGTAATCATACATTATTCATTTTGGGTTGTGTTGTAATGGTTCTGGGCAGTTTATTACCCTGGATCACTGACCTCATTGCTGAATACACTATCATGGGGCATAACCTCCTCAATACCTGCTGTCACTGTTTGAAGATTTATTTTGCAGGAAGTGAGGTTTTTTTTGTGGTATCATTGTGATCAGACAGTGAACAGCTTAAACCTTTTCTCACTTTCTCAAGTCCTGAATGTGGTACACCTCAGGCCCCAGAGTACAGTTTACCTCAGGGTCAAAAGTGCAGTATACCCTGGGCCCACAGTGTGAAAGGACAGTGTCTGACCCACTGTCCCATCCAGTCCCAGAGTGTGAAAGGACAGTGTCTGACCCACTGTCCCAGCCAGACCCAGGGTGCGAATGGACAGGGTCTGACCCACTGTCCCAGCCAGTTCCTGAGTGTGAAAGGACAGTATCTGATCCACTGTCCCAGCCAGTTCTGAGTGTGAAAGGACAGTGTCTGACCCACTGTCCCAGTCAGTCCCAGAGTGTGAATGGACAGGGTCTGACCCACTGTCCCA